ACCGATTCGGAGCGACCCCACTGGAAAGTTGAATCCTGCGCGGCGCCTCTTCTATACCGAGCCTCTCCCGAGAGAGGACCGAAATAATCCCCGATCTACTGCGACTCTCGAAACTTCCTATTTAGATGAGTCGAGTCTGATTCGGATCAAAACAGCTGAATTGTCAAAATATTTATGAGCGTTTTGTCAACGACGACAACCAGAGCTCGTGAGTTTCCGATGGATGGAATCCAGTGACCCAATGGCATCCACGACAAATCCGGTGTCTTGCCTCAATCCTTTTAATTTGAGTCGAGAACACAAGAGCATCAGCGGATAATTCGAGCTTGTGGTGCCTTTTTTCCTCATGAATAGCAGCGTTCGTTTGCGGTCAGTTGAACCCCAATCTCTCCCATCAGGCCTCCGCCCGCCTCGAGCAGAGTCGGATTGGAAGCCCGGGGCGGAATAATATCTGGTGCTCATTTCCACCAGCGGAATTTCATCAAAGACCGAGTTTCCCGAGAGCTCTCGGGCGTGAAGGCGGCGACTCACGAGTCTTCGAGGGTTCTTTTGTCCTGCCGCTTGACTCTGAAGGACAATGGCGACTCGAGTGAGAAGATTTTGTTTGAGAAAATCTCTGGCGAAATTTCCCCTCGCCAATGACGGCGTCGCGTCGTTTTGCCCATCTATACCAGAGAAGAAGACGAGTCGTACGAGCAAGCAGGATCCAGAGGACGATGACCATGGGGAGAAACGACTCGACCAACCAGAGGACAGTCGAGTCCCCACTGACTCTCCTCCTCTACCATCCTCACTTTAATATTTTGTTTCACTTTTTTTCTCGCAGAAGATTCGGCGACTCCCCGCTGTGGCTGGGCTCGAGGATAAATTTGGAGCGCCGACGAAAACTCGGAAGGATAACGAACACGAGAAAGGTCATGAAGCCCATCCGAGAAAGGGATCATTTAAAGGTCATCAAATTTCCATTACTCACTCGAACCTCTCCAAATGTCGGGTTCGCGGCAGGTATCGACGAACTACGTGCACCTGTTACGGCGCGGTCCCCCCAGCATCACTCTGATTATCTTTCCACTGGGCGAATCGAAACGTTTTGCGGCTTTCCGCTGCAATCGTCCCTCTTTTGAAGCAGGAAGTTTCTCCGAGTTAATCCTGTGATGATCAGCTTCGCACCACTGCGATGCTCGCCGAACCCAACACCCGGAGATCGCTCGCTAGATGGATGACCGTTGGAAAATTATACAAACTCTATCAGCGTAACGACAGCACATGAGCCAGCTAGGAACTATACCGCTCGGCTTCTGGGTTCACGGAATTCGGGAACACCTTCTGCGGAGCGTGTCTACATTGGAAGATAGATCTCTCTTTTCACAACTGCTCAGCGAGACAGCTCAGTCATCCGCCGGGCGCCATCCGCTGCTCGAGAACGAATGTGACCTCTCAACCAACAAACAGAGATTGAGCGAGAACGTTTAGTCTTCAATCATTCTTCGATCGAGATCGCGCTGACCGAGTGAACGACTTCGCCGCCTAGCTCTTGCCGGAGAGTACTGGCCGGGTCTCCGCGTCGGAGGAGAATCCTTTCACTCGATCAGGCCTATACCATGGTCTGTAATTCTTGATCACATCACAAGAACTCCGAGCCGCGGGTCAGCACATATGCAATCTGGTTTAACGGCGCGGATAATTCCGCATTCGGGGAAACTCGCGCCGATTTGTCGCGAACTACTCCCAATCGAGCTGCCCGGTTCGAGTTGGTCCCATCTGGATGAGTATCGCCCCTTGATGTCTCGGGAAAATCCCCCACTCAGAGTGGTCCATTGCAAACTTCCCGTTTGAAGGGTTCCGCGCGTCGGATTCTCGGATCCTACTCCGGGAATGAAGCTCTTCTCTGTCAGGGTCGGGAAAAGCCTGCGGAAGGGCTTATAAATTAGCTAATAATCAAGTGAACGAGTCGGGAATATAAAATGACGTGCGTGATGAGAAATCGTCCATAAAACGCTTCCAGGTTCGTGTTGATTTTTTCAGATCCGTCCCCTGAATTGTACCCCACATAGCCCCCGCATTCACAGCGAGAAAAAGCTCTATTGCCGGAGCATCTTTCCTCGGTGCGCAGACGTTCAGAGGTCCCTGATGCCGGAGCGGCTGTCGGACCAAGAAGAGCATTATTATAGCCGTGAAATGCGCGATTGAGAATCTTTTTCTCGTTGTTTTCCTCTCGCCGCTGAACGTTCTTTTTACATTCATTCGTAATGTAAACACGTGTTTCGGAAGTAGTCAGGCCAGAGCCCCATAGACATTTAGTTCTGGGCCGAATCTTCCATGACATTTGTATGTCTTCTCAGGAGAGTTAGTGCGCGTGTCTTATGATTGGCAGATGTTAGCGGCGCGCGGCTCCCTCTACTTCTTTTTCCTCCAGTCTCTCTCGCGTTCAGCCGAACTGCTGCCGCTATTTAATAGGTCCGCCTAACCTAGCGAAGAGGTCCCCCGAGTGTAGATGGACCGGATAAAAGGATATGTGAGCAGAGAGATGGATGCGGATGCACGCTCGAAAGGGATAAACTGAGCCGCGTGTTCGGTCGATAGATATCCTTGTGGTAGTAGCGAGCTTGCCAGACTACGGCAGTGCCTAGCGAGCGACGAGCGACGCCTGCTCCGCATTCACTCGGACCGGTGATGTTTTTACAGCCTACACAGAGTGACTTTGATGCCGGCTCTCGTCAGTCAGTCAGTCTCTGCAGTGAGGAAGCTCCTTCGGGAAAAACTTCTGAAAACTGCTGCCACTCACCGAACCGCGGCATCTCTACACAAACAAGCGACTTACACGACATGATCACTAGATGGATTTCCGCCCGCTTCTCCCTGCACTCTCTGTGACGGACACGATCCCAACAGGTCCTCCTACTTTTAAAATTTCGCACTGAGTTTCGTCGGTGTGATGTGTTCCCCGGGCTGTGGATCCGAACCGGGATCCGGATCGCGGCTCCAGCGATCGCTGGATTCAACAGGGTCGAGCGATTGCCTATCCGAATGCGACCATTCGCGGCACGGCATCGCCTTGTCAGGCCTCCCTGACAGCGGGAGCGGCAGCAAAAACAACTACCGTTGCTTCCAGTAATCGATTTCGGTGCTCTCCGTACGAACCCGATCATTAGATAGAGACCGGTGGGGATCGACAAAGGCTTCCAGGACGACTCCATCACTGCTGGCACTCGTTGATTCCACTGCGGTCATCATGATCGAGACCATCGCGACGTCGACCATGAGGCCTGGAAAGACCCCCTGTACACCTTGATGGCTCGGATTATCTAGTCCGCGAATCGCGTCCCAATCCGCCAGCTTAGGGGTCCCGAGACTCGCCTCTGTCAGGATTAGAATCCGATCATCACAAGCGATCCGAGCATGCACCGAATCCTATCGGAGCTCCAGTGAGGTCCAACTACCTGACGTTCCATCTTTTGACCTGGATGACGTTCCCATCTAGAATCTTCGGACCTCTCCGCTTGACGTTAAGGAAATGCATGCTCTGATCGCTCGAGCTATGGGTCAGCGCATGAATTCGCAGCGGGAAACCGATTCCTCCCCCTCCCGCCCTCACCGATCGGGATCCAATTCATGACTCGTGGCTGGTTTTCGACATTATGACAAAATAGACATGACCATGTCGTGCTCATAGGGGGTTTTCCATGCCGCCGGTGTTATTGACGACTCTGCTAATCCAATTCGAGAAACCGATCCCTCAGCGATCTTTGAGGCGAGTTTTTGCTTGAAATAGAGGCCGGCAATGACTGGCTGGCTGAGACACGATCGAACGAATAGAGGCCCCGCGCTCGCTTCGATAAAAGAAGTCGCTCATTCACTTATCCACCCGTCGCTGTCCTAAATGATGAGATAGATGCCACGGCTGGCGGTCGTCTCTGCCACCGGATCCAAGGGTTACGCCATCATACGAATAACAGGAACGATCACCCTGACGATCATCAACAGTCTACATGGCATTAGGTTAGGAAAACCCACTCGCATTCGACCGTAGCGTGACCGAGCCGTGTCTCGGTAGACTCCTGTCTCTGGCACGTGGTTCTGAAAGATTCACTCTCATCCATCGCTTCTAGATCTACGTCGAATTTTTGGTCCTCTCGGGAAGCTCTCCGAGATCTCATCAAAACGGTCCATGAGCTCAACACCGCAGCGATTGAGTCGCTTGCTTGTATCAGCTGCAATCGACTCGCGGACAAGGACTAATCCGGGTGATCCAACGAGGAGAGCTTTGCGGCTTTTTGTTCACACTCTGATGGCCGAAGATTACGGGGACAAAGAGGAGCAGCAGACAATAAATGTTTTCAGACAACGATCGCTCCCGATAGCGCGTGTTTCTCCATGAAGGAGCACTCAGCGTAAACGATGCCGAAGAGCTTATCTGATTGACTTCAATAGCCGCTTGTTCCTGATTTCGACCAAATTCGACAATTCGATAGTCCTCGAGATGAAAGCTCGGACTGCCGCATCGAGTTATCGCCGAGCGGCATGAGATCGGCGTTCTCGGCTCGAGGGTGTGAGTTCTCAGGAGCTTCTTCGGCTTTCGGATCGCCGACGGAGGCAAAAATCATTACGTTTTTCTGGCCCGGAGTCGCCGATTGATTCTCTGTTTATTTCCGATATCGAGACTCTCGTTTGATTCTGAAGGGAAGGAAGACGGCTTTTACGCTGCTTTCACCTATTCTCAGTTGTCTCCGGAGAACTTGCGTCATGTGCCCCTTTGGGGGATTTACGGATGCGCACTCAGCGTTTCTTTTCCTTTCGGGCGATCCTCTCCAGTGAGACTCTTTGCGGCAGCGACGCAGCTCTTGTGAGAGCGCCGAGTCTCTTAACCTGCTGCCGGCCATCACCGACGCTCTAAATTGGAGATATTTTGAAACGTCGTCGTCTCAAGAGACAATCGAAGCGTCGGACAGCGCCAGCCGTTCCGTCGGCGAACATAATCTTTAGAGCTCACGTTGGCAGTAGTGTGTTTGTCGAGTGTGACTGGAATGATTGATGGCGCTGTCAGCAAGGATCCGAGTTTTCAAAATCGCGGCTAAATTAAGCTACCCGAACTGGTAGGTCTCGAGAATCCGCGAGAAGCCATCAGAGTGACCTTCCCTCTGAGTGAGTTAGCCGAAATAAGCGAAACGTGACCGACTGATACATAGATGCCAATTTTCCCTTGGGAAGCCATTCCAGGAAAGCGAAAAGCTATTGGCACTGTGAAAGCGACAAGCACCTCATCCATGAAACGAAATACGCACAATTGCTGAAGAGCGCCTCCTTGAAAGGCGACCAAGTGGCGATTCAGTCTTACCACCAGAATATAACGAAAACGTATTCAGAGTACCTGAAAGATGTGAGTGAGTGAGTGAGTGAGGGAGAGAGAGTGCGGTAAACAATGCGGCAGCGACTGGCCATCGGCGGCGCGTCCACGGCAGGTGCGCCTAATGCAAATTTCTCATTCATTGCACAGGTGGACTCATTGGCGGCCGGGCTCTTATCCTTACATCACTGTACTCCCGGATCCCTCGTGGCCGTCCTGTCTCCGAATGTATACGAATGGACCGTGGCCCAATTCGCGTGCTCGAAAATCGGCTGCGCCCAAGTCAATATTAACCCTGCGCTGCAGCCTCCAGAGCTCGAACACGCCCTGAATCAGGTGGCTGTTCACGACAAAGATCGCGCTTCAGTAGTCGAGCTCAGAAATTTTCTGAATTCTCGGAAAAGCCCCCCGACCAGGGAGATCTTTGTTCTTGTCGCCGACGTCCACCGGGGAGTTTTTTTTTTTTTCCCGGATATAAACTGGGTTCCTCATGAGTTCTCCGAGGTGTAATGCGATTCGCCAACCTGGAAGGGACTTCTCCTCCGCCGACGCCCTCCCCTCGCGGCCTAACTGCGATCCGTCGGGATGGTTTGCGAAATTTTCTCATCCCAAGCTCTATATTACTTCCAGTCTCGGAGTAAGGTGCTCGTAGTCGGTCTGGAACACTCTACGGTCGACTTCTATTCTTTGCTGCGAGTCCTCGCGCCAGAACTAGACTCAGCAGAACAGAATGACCTGAGGCTCGATAGATTGCCTTATTTACGATCGATCGTTGTTATCGGTGACGAGCGAAAGCCGTAAGTTCCGAGCTCTATCAACAATTGCGGGATAGCCTTCACCCGGCATCGATCGCCAGCTAAGCGGAACGCCGACTGAATGCCCAAGGTGGAACGATACATAATTCCAGAGCGACGATATCCTATCAGGAAGTGATATCGAATGCGACAAAAGAGCTTCACCAGAAGGCGGATGAGATTCACGATTCCGTCGATCCAGACTCGGTCGTGAACGTGCAGTTCACTTCGGGTAAAAGATGATGTCTCGCCCCGAAATCCCCGAATGTGACGATCCTCGCTGGTGGTCAAATATGTATTGTCGATTGTTGGTCGCTTCGGTTCGGAAAATATCTGGAAAAGTTTTTTACCCCCCGAAGGTACAACTGGAAAACAGAAAGCTGTCGCTTTGACGAATCACGGGCTGGTCAATAACGCTTACAGTTTCGGGAATCGAGTCGGTAAGGCATTGAGAATATTCCGCCACTTGTCATATGTGCGTAGTCCCCAATTTCTTCATTATATCATCGTGAAGTCATTTCGACATGCGATCACCAGGGCTCCACGCTCCGAACTCGAAGGTGTTGATCAATCTGCCCCTGGTACACACATTCGGCTGTGTTTGCGGCGTTCTATCGTCTGTTATCCACGGGGCGAGCGCAGTGCTACCTGCTGCAAGATTCAACGCTCAGCGCTCAGTTGAAGCACTGGCGAAGTACAAGTACGTGAAATTCGTTTCAGAACGCGTTCCGCGGGCTAGGGCGACTCGCTTCGCGAGCTAATGAATATTCAAATCGTCTAACTCATGTATGACTGGAAAATCATTAACTAGGTGCAGCATCATTTACGGAACGCCTACAATGTACATAGACATGCTCGCTCGTATGCCCGAGAAAGCGATGTACCCGTCCCTGCGTTCCGGCGTAATTGGGGGCGCATCCGTTCCGCAGCAGCTTTTGAACAAAATTCAGCAACGTCTCAAAATTCGCATGCTGGTATGTTCGATCAACTCCCGCTCAACTCAATCACGGACCCGAGCCGATCATATCGATGATTGATTGTTCCCCCATCTACCGGCTCTCTTCCCCCGAATAGCAAGAATTTCACAAAACTTTTCCTCCGATTGATCTCGTTATAGCCCGCTTACGGCGCGACCGAGATGAGTCCCGTCGCCACCGTAGCAACCAGAATGGAAGGAGGTCGTCTGCTGGAGACTGCTCTGGATCATATCGAGCTGAAAATCGTGGATTCCAAGGGGAAGATCGTTCCGTTTGGCGAGAAGGGAGAGCTTTGTTCTCGGGGTTATCACATTTTCAAAGAGTATCTGCACCAGCCAGACAAAACGGAAGAAGTCGTTAGGGATGGCTGGTACTATACGGGGTATGCTAATACGGGACGCAATTTGCGGAATATTTTCTCAACATACGTGTAACTGCCAGACGCATGCGGCCTGTCCCGGTGATAGCGAATCTTGTTTCCTTCGGAGTCGCTGCTCTCGGAAGGAGTCCCCACACTATCGTATGAACTCCATCGCTTCGATATATTCCAGAGACGAAGCTATAATGAGCCCCGACGGTCACGTGGCGATCACGGGTCGCGCCAAAGACATGATTATTCGAGGGGGAGAAAATGTCTACCCGGCAGAAATCGAGGATTTCCTGCTTGGGCTCGAGGAGGTTGAAGAAGCTCACGTTTTCGGTGTCCCCGATCAGAGACTAGGTTGGTGCTTTACCTCGGTTACCCCGCTGGTCCGCCGTACGCGGGCGTTCTTCTCGTACTCCAACCGTCCTGCTCCATCTTCACCATGCAGCGCATCGCTCGTCCTCCGATTCCGAGTCCAGATTTCCTTTCTTGCCCGACGGATCCCCAATGAAATCCACCAGTCATTGCCCCGACTCATTCGCTTCATTACTTCAGGAGAGGAAGTCGCTGTGTGGGTCAAAACTAAACCCGGAATAGCCGTTTCGGAGGAACGTCTCAAAGCCGCTTGTAAAGGAAAAGTAGGTTACCTATCGGGATATCCCGGAGCTGTCCCTATAGTGCCCAGCCTTCTGCTCCTGGAAATATCACGATGGAATTCATAGAGGGGTTCTCATCAAATCGCTTCCGGTGCGCTGCTTCACGATATGCTCCCTCTTCCAGATAAGCCATTTCAAAATTCCTCGGTACGTGAAATTTGTCGAAACCTTCCCGAAAACCCATTCTGGGAAGATTCAGAAGTTCATCTTGAGGAAAGAGATGACCGAGGAGCTGAATCTCGGACGGGATTGAGTATCAAGCTTCGTCTGAAACTGAAGACAATTAACATGATGGATGACACGAGAAATCGAATCAATGCCCTCATTCGGAGCGCTGATAAGTTCCACCGAACGTATCGAGGCATATATCCCAGTCGACGATCGTGGATAGATGAATAAACAGTTTTTGGCTCCCCCTGGAATGTGGAACTCCCGTTTCTTCGATTCGACTGCGAATCAGGATGGCCATTGTGGTTCGGGTGCGTCTACCCCATCCATCTTCGGGCAGATAGCGCGGATAAGATTCCCCGCTTCCATCCCTGCTCGACCTTCGATTCAGAATTCACTTCTACGTATCGGCGCTCGGAGGTAGTTATCCGATAGTTTCGAGACATTGTTGACACATCGTTACGAGATGGAGCCCAAATTCTTCGATGACCTAACGGAAGGATTCGGGAGCTCGACGTTCGGAGCTGGCACGCACCTTCATCCAGGTAGGTCTGCTCCCACCTGGGACCGTCACCTTTCGGGTCGACTCGAATTTCCAGCTTTACTTCTTTTGCGATCACATGAAACTCGAGGGCACGAGAGTAACGGCCGACGGACACAGGTCATCGCCAGTGGTAACGTCATCAAGTGATAAAAAAAACAATACTCCGCTATTGAAGGCGATGGCTCCTAAAAAAAGCCGTGTAGCTGCTTGTTACAGCGGGGAGTCCGCCCCGACGAATCTGCTCGGAACATTAAACGGCTGTACACAGCCGTTCCGAAAAGGCGGCAAAAGTGGAATCGCGGTTTGCCATTGTGGGTGGCGTCGAGCACGTGCCTTGTCGACAAAAAATAATACGCCAGGACAGGCTATACGGGGCAAGCCTGCTCGACAGAGTCGAGTATGTTGTTCTCCCGATAACTTACGGACCGCTAGCGCTGGCCGCCGCGACCATTTGCCGTATGAAATAACAATCACGAGCATGGCATCACCCAACTCGGCTCGCGAGAACGGCGCCGGCGGACACCCGAAGAGGGAACTTGGGTCATAGGTTGCGGGCGGGTGCGGCCGCTGCATGAAATTGCACAGTGACCTTTGTTCGATCGCGCACATGACGCTTGCTAGGCGGGAGCCTCGCCATTCCGCGAATAATTTCCGGTGAATGAGACCAGGACCCGCACTGCTCTGCCGATTAGCTTTCGCCAGTCGTGTGGGCATCCGGATGATTCCATACTTCCGTAGAGAAGAAAAGACAGAAGCTCGTTGGGAGTCTTTTCCACCTCCGGGGAGTCTCAGATTCCCTCTGAAGGTCCACTGATCCGGTCGGCTCTCAGTCGTGAATTATAAAACAGCTTCTTCTCCTTTGTCTCCGTTTCTTGGAGAGAACGTATGGCGTGCTTCGATAAGATTAATTCTATTAATTGTCCCTCGGCCCTCGTTTTCCCTCCGAGCGTTCTTCTTTGAGTATCACACCCTTTTTTTCTTGGAAAGAGCCACTCAGCCCGACGGCGCCTGGCCTAGATAAAGCTTCCTGATTTTGTTTCCTTTAATCGATATTCTCTCTTTCAGCTTCGGGTTACAAATTACCGACCGCCGCTCAAGCTCACTTACAGGAGCCGATCCACATTCCTGAGCCGTCTCCTCATGAGAATGAACCCAGAGGGAATCCACCTTTGACCGAGTCGAGAATGGATCTGAAGACGGAACAGATCGAACGCTCAACCCGGTTCTTGACTCGCCTGAAAGCGTTGGGGGATAACCTGCCGGGCCAGGATCTCTAACGACACCCTTGCAGCTCATCTGATCTTCCCCAAAGTTGCGACTGCCCCAGCAGCCGTCGATAGTTATCGAAGGCCGCGGGGTCGAAGCTGGTCTGTGTCAGAGTGCATTCGGCGGTCGGTCCATGACGATACTCGCGCATCCTCCGACATTTCTCTGTTGATCGTCTCGCAGCCGAATCCGGCAATCGTATTGTGTTAAGCTCGATGTGAGCAGACCACGATCGTGGTTACGTGTTCGCCGGACGGGCGTACGAGCAAAAGACGTGTCTCTCGTAGTCTCGAGAATTTCGGGGATATCCAAACGACATGGACGCGTACGAAGTGATGGAAGACGAAGGTGAATGTCGGAGCTCATTAATACGTGTTCTTCGTCTCCATTCGTAAGAATTTCCCGTGCCGAGCGTCTCAGTCGGATACCGATCGATTTTCAGATGACTTCGCGGAGTTCTACAGTAGTGTATGCTCGAAAACGTGCCTGGCTGTTCTCGAAGTGTTCTGCACTGTCAGTACCGTGCTTAATGTCGTCGTGTTCTTGGCGTTCTTCAAACGGAAAAAGCCGCTCAGCTCCCGCGAGGTTTTCATGTTCGTCCTGATCGTCAACGATGTCCTGAGGACCACCGTAGGCGCATACAGGAACTGGTGGCCCGTTTGGGTGTTCCCTTGTAAGTGAACTCATGTTCGACCTGGCGGCGCACAGCCCCCTCTCCGGAATCGCATGTTGGAAACTACCGGGGGCGCGACGTTCCGCAGCAAGCATTTCATTTAAATTGTTTTTCTCCCTGTCACAGATACGGATAACGTGTGGCTGTGCCGAATACATTTCCTACTGTCGGAAACCTGTGCTATGTGTTCGCTCCTTTTTCCGGCGTTTTACGCAATATATGAATGTTGCACCAGGGGCTTTCCAACGTCACCGTTGGCAGCGTTTTTATCTCAACACAGATCCTCGCTGCTTGTAGATCTCTCAATCCTGATGATTGGTTTGTGCTCGCCCGTCATCTTCGTCGTCGGTGAGGCCCGTGGAAAGATGAGAGAGTTCCTCCGCCAGACAGGAAGCAATTTTTATTGGAGCTTGAGAACCACCGAGAACTCCCTGAATGACTACCATGATGCGGGAATGATTCGGGAGTTCCCTGTATTTCCAGGCGAGACCCATTTCTCCCACTACAGCTGTGTTTTCATGTACTACAACACGGAGGAGACCGGTTTCGCGACCGCTTATGCCATTTCCTACAGAGTTCGTCTGGCGCTAAAAACTTTCTCCCTGATCTCAATGTGGATGGCGACAGTCGTATTACTAGTCAAGGTTATCAGTTCTCCTGTCAGAATTAAAAGCTTATCCCGCTGATGAAATGGCTCCTCGCGGGTCTCTATAGTCCCCTCGAGCCCCAAATCTCGAAGCCGAAGGGGGGGAGAGATCGATTTTTCGTAAGGCCGACGGATGTTTGCAGGTATCCGAGATCACACCGACATCCCGCACTCGACTCCGACATCTGTGGGCGGAGCAGAAATTGCTCATAAGTCTCTTGATGAAACTCACATTCTTGGCCTCCCCTTACGGAGTGAGTACGACGCCTAAATTAGAACGTTTGAGCTCGAAAAAGTTCAGAGCTTTCTCGAGACCCACTCCCCGGTAGTATTGTGCAGGGACCTTTCGCGGGCACAGTGAAAGAAGTCTTACGCCGCAACATCTTTCTCCCCAGGTGTTCATACCGCTGCTATGGCAAAGCTCGGTACCCACTCTGCTCGTTGGCGAAATAGCCGGCCTAGCGTTGATGCTCGACACGATGACGAACGCACCATTGTTCCTCTGGATCACCGAAGAACTACGCTTTTGGACAGCTTGGACGCTGCCTGAATTCCTGAAGACCTGTCGGCAGAGGAAATCGTGTCAGGAGCTCGAGGGTGAGCAGGACTCCGTGTAGACAGGGCTATTTTTCTGAATTTAACCCGCGACTGATTCAAGCGAATCGGATCCGCTCGGAAATTGGTGAAATGTCGTTCTTCTTCGTTTCGTCTGCGCTCACAGAAGGTTTAGTCGCTGCAGATAGCAGTTTCAATTCTAGATTCGAGAATAAAGCCCTTCCTATACTGAGCACCCAGAGTGCAGAGTGTTCGCTCCCTCCACAATCGCTGCTCGCTGCCTCTACGAATCACCGGGGTAATTGCTGACAGCCTAGAGCCCGGAAGACTGAGCTTCAATATAACGAAAATGTCGTCGTTTGTTCAATATACGGCTCGGACCGGTTCTTTCTGCATGTGAAGCCTTCAATGAGGTCAGACGTGCTGACATGGACTCCCAGAGTCGTCACAGCATTGAATCGAGGCAACTAGGTATGTTCTAATTCGACAGCGAGTTATGCCGACGCATAATCCACTCGAAGGCATACATAAGTCCGCCTCTGAAACGACACTCGAACCCTAAGCCCGATTCCGGCTTCCACAGAACTCCCGGGAGACAGGAGATTCTCCAATGTTGAAAGAGATCCCAAAGAAAAACCTTTATTCATGACCAAGATTGGGAGCGATGTTCGTCTGGAGTATTCCGAAGCTCATGGAATAATTCATGGATGCCGCGAGACAGACATTTTGGGCCCCCTGGCACGAACGCTCCGGGAAGACTCCCGGCTGCGAAAAGGTACTTCACACCCTGGAGAGTGTTCCTGAAGGAGTTTTATCCACTTGCAACGTTCCTTCGTGCACTCGATAGCCCTGCCTGCTCGTTCAAACACGCGAGTGGCGAAAGGCAAGTAATAGACGTGGAAACACCGAGAGAGGACAGATCGCTCATTTCTTCAGACTGGATGGTCGAATCGAGCGAAGAAATGGGGTCTGCAAGCACAAATTCTCCGAGTCCCTGCTCATGTACTACTACCTCGAATTCCACGAGCCGTTGCGGACAACTATTCGGGAGAACTCGACGAGACACAGCGGTCGACGAGGCGAGAGATATGCATTATATCCCCCTGGCCTCTCACCTCATATGGGCGGCCAATAATCCGGTGAATAGGCAATTGATTATTCGAAGTAGCGAAACCCCCGAGAAATTCTCATCTGATTAGTCAGAGATAAGCCAATTTCGGCTGGAGCTTCAACCAGAGCTAAGGTCAGAGCAGTGCCGCCACGGTTCGGGAATACATATTCGCGGCGATTTCACGAAACCCAGAGCGGTAACTCCGGGGACAATCGCTCAAACGAGCTCCTTCAGCACTTTCACGACCCGCCCCCAGAGCTTCTGGCTTCCTGTTGCGAGTTTGGGTCTGGACGAGTCAGCCAGACTGCCGTAGACTTCTCGACGTGACCCGTTTCCGAAACACGCGGCGCGAGGTCGAAGCGATGATGGCTGCCCCGGGGTCGAGATGAGGGACCAGTGCAATCAAACGGAAAGCCAGTGCTGCTCGAACTCATGCCTGGGAGTTTCGGTGGAAGGGCCTTGATGGGGCCTGGAGCGCGAGCTGCGAACGCTCATATGGAGCCGAGCACAATATGCCAGCCCATCCGGCTGACTGAGAATGCGGGCCCTCGTTTGGCGATCGGTATGTTCATATTGTACATACGTATATACACGCGTTCGAGGGTGCGTAAGCGTACGGAATGGCCGGAATTATTATATCTATGGGCCTAGGGTCCGCTCCGAGAATGCAACAGTCTCTCTGGCCCACAGTTTTTAGCTCTCGGACGCTACAGCCCGCCGAAGCCAGAGACGAAAAGAGCAAGCGGCGTGCCCCAGTCGCTGGGCCGCGGTGCGCGTAAATAAAATATGAGCCTAATTATTATCAGGCAGCCCGATTCCGAATTGGAACAGTCACCGAATCAATATTTTAATGGTTCCAGCTCACGCTCGTCAGTTGTTCATTTGCATGACATCCGATTCCCTCGGATCCCTGCCAAATCAGATCGGAGTCGCTTGACCTTTCAGCGTCACTGGGCAGAATAAGGTCCACAGCATACCATTACCGCCCGTCGATGAGAGGAAGCTCCCAAAAGCCATGCAGATTCCGATCGAAGACCCTTAGCCAAATATTTGTTCCACAATCAGACGATTCGATAATGCCCAGATAGTTCGGGTTACGCATAATAATTAGACACAGTCCTCGCGACGCATTGTGCGTCACGAGGCATTCGGAAGGAGGAAAAGAATCTTATATGAGGTCTTACGAATGTTCATCGATGAATGGGTGTTCGATTCCCGCAAGGTACTCTCACGTTTGTGTCCATCCATTTCCACGGGTACCGTATTTACGTACATATAAAGAGGATGCAGTGCTGCGAGGAAAGAATCCGAGGGCTTCCTTCTCTTCGGTCACAGGAGCCGTAAGTATGCAAGTTATTTGCATAGATTCCTGCATACGGCTCATATAAAAATTGTCGTTATTCGGAACAGTTTTTGCATTATTGTGTTGCACAAGCCCCTCGTGAGTCTACGCCAAGGCCGTGTGCATATTTCTCCCCGAAATGGAGATAAAGCGAGCTACCCTGTATGTATGTCGTGGATGCACAACGAGGAATGCGACCTAAAATAGCCTTCGAGATCGCGTGCGGAGGCCCCTGAAGTGCCGTTGAGAATAGAGCGTTGGATACGGCGAGCTTCAGTGAGCGATCTCTTCGAAAGGGTGCTCGCCCAGTGTAGTAATCCGTCGAGGTTTCCTCGATTCCGAGCTTGACGTCGTCCTCAGCCAGGAATACACCGAATCCTCTCATTCTCCGTCATTGAAGCCTCAGACCGGATAGGACTCGGAACGTCTCCGGTCAGCGCACGATCCACAGCCACCTCTAGTACTCGGAGCCGAACTATCCGCGCTTCCGGGAGATATAGAGAGAGAGTGTGAAGCCTTCGAGATGGCCATCAATCTGTCAGTGCTGACACTGAGACTCTCTGTTGCAGAGCATCCTCCATGGAATATCGCTACGTCATGATTCAAGATAGACTTTGACACGAGTCGTCGGAAAGAGAGTCAATGTCCGTGTTCTGCGACGCTGTATTTGTGTGCTGTTCAGAGTACACGCACAAAAGCTTTAAAGGCCTGTCTCGAGGGAGAACTCACTGCGGCTCCCGCGGAGTTTCAACTGTTCCCTGCCGGAGGAGAAACTCTCTCACGTACGGTTACGAGCAAACAATGCATCGCGCGTAGCTCGAAGTAAATTATTGATGCGCGCCGCGATCTTCCTGCAGTCGGGCCCGCTGCGGCGGGCGATCGAGCGGTATTCCTCAGTCCTCTTTTTTTACTACGAGAAAGTCTGAAACACTTCCGGCGGAAAACGTACGTCTCGAGACCCCCGGGAGGCGACCGTCCCGGCCGGATAGCGATGGAGGAGGTGCGTTCTTGTTTCCGTGGGTTCCACTTATTCGCAGCGGACAGAAACTCCGGACAAGCTCTGGACAAAGAATAATTGTCCTATTCGGGGGCAGGAACGATATTAGATACTCCCCTGAACTGCACCAACGCTTCTTCGGATTTTGCTGGTGAAGACCGGGGTACGCGAAAATCGTCGCGGAGCTCTCCGGATCAGCATGCCGAGAGTGACACGAAAACCGAGGAGATGGTGTATGAGTCCCGTGCGTGTAAATACGTCCCGGAGACGAATCATGAATTTCACGCTGTCACGGGCTGCCTCGACATCTCTAGAGACGAGGGGGGGGAAGGCTGCATCCTCGAGGATAACGAACTAAATAATTCGCCACCCACCGAGACAACAGGATCATCCCGTCATAACACTGGAAATAGGCGCAGAAGGTGAAGTGATTCGAAGCTGGCACCTGTCCTTTAATAAGCGTCGCAACGAATCCGACCGTCCGACCCTGCTCTGAGGCAGGATCCTCAGAACTCCGAGCGTTCACGTGATCTGACATCAGCCTCCAATCGCCGTGAGTTTTTGTCGAGAATACGCGCTTTTGAAGTTTCCCCGGAAAACAGACCGACCGGTCCCGACGACTTACGACAATGCGCGGATCCTCACCTAAGAGAGTGCGAATCGAGCGTTAATATAACTCCGACTTATAAGCTGATGACGTAACCGAGACCAATCTCTTCCCTTATCAATTGCCTCGGCGACGCCAAGCCGACGGACCGACGGGGACCTATCGCTTCCCCGCTATTCCGCTGATCGAGCTCTGCGGGGGAATGGAAGTCGGCGTCGCATGCTCCACCCACATGATGTCTGAGCTCTTTCAGAAAATAGCGTTGAGATGGTCGAAAACACATGACTATTGAGTAATGACCTAAAACTCTTCGCTAAGGGGCTACGTGTCGAGTTCGCCCTGCATTCCAGGTGAAGTGATTTTCCCCTCCTCGTCGAGGAGGCTCGAAGTCCCTCAGTACTTTGAGGGGGGAAGGGGAACTCCCTGAATGGAGCTGGAAAGTTCCCGTTTTCGCTCAGTACGCATCCTTGCCCGTCAAGCTCGGCGTTCAGGGTCCGCCCTAAACTCTCCCCCAATCCGTATCTGGTTCTCTAGTCTCTAGTTCAGCACAAAAATTCAAATAGCTCATCCTGGACCCCGTTCCTTCAGATGCTGTGGACTTCAGCACGACGGTCGCTCCAACATGTTCCCTCATCCGGATTGAATTCATCCTCCGAGACGCATTTCCCCTCCCCAGAGGAAAAGCTATCCCCAAATAATGAGAATGGATTCGCAGCTTCACCCCTCGCGTAAAGCCAGGACTTTTTATCGGTAGAGTTCCCCATGCTGCCAGCGACTTCGGGAGCGAAGCAGCATCGATACCAAAAGTTTGCGTAGAGAGGTTTCAAATTGAATAAAACCTTTGTCGCTGTTGCCGACTGATCACCGTCGGCGTCGCTGTCTCTGTCATCGACCCTGACGATAACATCTGATCAGATGAACAGGAACGACGAGGGAAAAAGGGCAGTTTCGCTGCGCGGTTGCTCCTAGTCGCTGTCCTCTTCTTTGTCATCGCAGTCGCTGTCC